GGTTTTGAACCATATTCTCTGATGTACTAGTAAGAATTTCATATCATGCAGAACAAAATGTATCCTCATTATTTTTGCTAACAAATACTGACTCCTGGCTGGGCATGGTGTCACACACCTATAATCTCAGCCCTCGGGAAGTTGAGGCAGGAGGATTGCTGTGAGTTCAAGGCCAGCCTGAACCACATAGTGAGACACTGTCTCAAAAAAAATACTGATTCCTTATACATAAATGCTAGGCAGTGTGCCAAGCTCCTACATGCATTATCTTATTTATCTCAATCATAGTCTCTACCCATTAGACGATCAGCAAGAGGTTAGATCCTTCCAGCAAGCTATGTGTCCTTCATGTAAACACAGACTGATAAGAGTGTTTGCTAATTAGATTTCTGATGATCTCTCCCCTACCCTTTCATCCGCACAAATAGAAAACAGGCTTAGAGAGCTTTCTGAGACCTTATCTTTTAATTTTCCAAAGCCAGAGCCCAGATGGCTACATCAAGTTTGTCAAGTTCAATGTCATTTCTCTGTGAAACTTTAAGGTGTTTCAGTCATACTTGGCTGGCTCCAAGGCAGGATGGCATGGCAGAGGGGCGTGGTGGGGGAGAGTTGCTCATGACATGGTGGACAGGAAACGGAGAAAAAAGGAGGAGCCAGGGAGGGAGATAAGCCTTCCCAGGCCACACCTCCAGTGACCCACTTTTTCCAGACCCCACCCTAACAGCAAGTCAGCTACAAGCCTTCTTAGTCCAGTTACCTTCCAGGAGCCCTACTGATGGTTCCTGGAGCACATCGAGATATAAATCATAACAGGTTGACAGCTCATGAACCTGGACTTCAGGAGGCAAGCAGACAACCTTGCATATGTCCAGGCCCTTAAAACCTTCTGCTGACGCTCCTTCCCACCTGCTCTATGAGGAAGAGCATTTACTGTTGGTGTACAACAAAGTCCAAGTTCTCTTCCTTGCTTGTGATCACTCTGTGGCTAGTCCAGGCAGCCTTACTGCAAATGGCTATCATGTAATTCACACCACCTTTTCAGAGAAAGGGGAATGAAATAGCTCATCTCTGAACTGAAAGAATTCATGAGCTTTGGTATGTCATTCCAAACCAATGGTCCACAATGGTTGAGCAAAACTACATTTTATATCTAGTATTTGATTTGCTACATAATTTAACAGAAAAGTAACTTTATTTTTTTTCTAATTAAAGGAAGTAATGTTACAATCAATAATTTCTCTTGCTCTACTTTGGGAAACGAATGTCTGTCTATTGTTTTTAAATCACAAAGTGAACATTGCTATAGAAATGCAAAATGGTACTATTTCATTTTAATCTATTAAATTTTCCATTCTTGAATTACATAATGGGGTTAAAACATTGAGTAGAATTAATAGAATGAGTATTTAATTAAGCAGTAATGAGTTTCTAAATGGGTACTCAAAGAAACCAGCTTTATAGTTTATGCAAGAATCAGATAATAGTCTTAATAAAGACGATAATAATTATGTTGAATGTTTTCTATATTTAAAGATTTTTATTTTTTCTGAATTCTCTCAGGACTAGATTTAAACATAACCCAGTTTCTTGATTAGATTCCACTTTGCTTTCAAAGTAAATTCTAAAGCCTTTTCCCAACTCAAAAGGCCCACACCATCAGACTCTACCCACCTGTGCAGTCTAATGTCAAACAGACTTCCCTGGTCCCCGGGGGATTCCACGCACACCCTCCTTTCTTCTGCTCTGCAAATGTGCAGCCCTCCTCCTGCTGCCCAGATTCTGCTCTTGCTGTTCCTGATACTGGGAAGAGTCTTTCTATCACCTCACCTCCTCTTCTGTCTGTTCTCAGGAGACTTTTCCCTGATGAGCCTCCTCATGCTCGGGCAAGTACCTGCCTCTCACCAGCACACGCTACTACAGACTCCTCCAGAACTGCGTGGTTTTCTTCTTAGCACTTCACATCTTTTTGTAATTATACATTTATTTCATGTCTCCCTCTCCTTCCACCCTGTACTTTTCATGAGAAAATAGACTATGTCTACTTTGTTTACTAGGTAGGTGACTGGATGGACAGATAGATAATGAATGGATGGATGGTACATGTGGCTGTGGACCCATTACTACCTATAAGGACACATGAGGACCACAATATACCCTTCTGAGAATCACATCACCTCCTTCCTATTTGACTTGGATTCATTGCTCACATGCTAAAATGGGTACTCTGCCAGCCCCATTAGTAAGTGCTGGATACAGGACAATTTTGGTGTCACAAGAGAAGCTACATGGCTTTGTCTCACTTAGACATGGCCTACATGTTGGTTCATTAATCCCGTCATCTATCCATCCATGAGATCATCAAACCTGGTTGTGTGTTGGGCACTGTGCTATATACTGAGGGTCAGGGCTGGCTCATCCAGGACTGGCACGGGGCTAAGGCCCTAAGGTCAGAAAAAGAGAACTTTAAGGGTCAAAGAAATCTTTAATTCATTTCTTCACATTAAAAAATGTAATTTCAAAACCCATGGAAATCTGTCATAGTGGGAGGAGCCAATGAAGGGGAATGTGCTGAGCTTCCCAAAAGGCCTTCCGCAGCCCTGATGCAAAAGAGGGAATGCATCCACCCCTGTCTCCTGGGGCATGCCGGCAAATGTCAGAATCGCCGCCGTCAGTGAGTCCGCCCCTCAGTCTCGCAGCCCACTGTCTCTATACCCTCACCTCTCCCCACCTCCTATATCTAGGACCGTTCACTGACTTGTCCTGCAAATATATACTAGCCTCTTCTATGCCCCTAGCACTAAGCAAGGAGCTGCAGTTTAAGACAAGAGCATGACAGACAAAAGTCTCCAGCACTCTCAACTCTCACTGTTACCGTGCTTTCATCTTGATGGCATGACACCCACCTGCTTTGACCAAGCATCTTCTCACTTAGGTATCAGATGGGCAGCATTTCTCACTGACTGGTGGTGCCCCTCGTCCTCCAGCCTTAGCACATGCCAGCCCATGCAGTGATCTGCCTGGTTTCCTACAGTATGCATGTCGGAAGAGCCACAAGCCAATGTCCACTGTGACCAATGTCCAAGCCAATGCCACTATGACCAGCTGGGTTAGAGCTCCAGTCGTCTGGCTTTGCGACACAGCAGTGGCTGAGGACTGGCAGGAGTACCTTGGGCTTGCATGGCAGAACTTGCTGAGAGCAGAGCTGACTGGAACCCAGGAGACTTCAGTCTGACCTTTGGCTCACCACAGGACTTTGAGCAAGCATCTCCCTTCCTTTGCATTCTGCATAATCATCTTCTGCAGTCTAAAAGATTAGATGGCACATGTGTCACCAAGGCCTCTCCTGGGCACATGGCAGGCAGAAGTAATTGATCACAGCACCCCAGACTCAGGCCACATTGCCCACAACCCAGCATAGGTAATTTTGTTGACACCAGCTTGTCGTCCTTAGATTTGGGCTTCATCCTGTTTCTTCTCACCATAGCGAATCCCAGGACCAGTAGAACTGGAATTGGATGAGGGTTGTTTTTTTTTTTTTTAAGCCCCATGGGAGATTTTAATGTGAAGATAGGGCTGAGAATCATGGGTCTGGTTTTTTGGCTTTATAATTCTTTAATTTTTTGTGGGGGAGAGGAGGGAAATATAGGAGATAAGACTGATAGAGCTCCCTTAAATAGGAATCAGAGGAATCTGGTCAAAGAGGGTGTTAGTGGAGCCATTTCTATGGCAGTATCCTCAGTATCGCTCTCCAGCAATTTCCCATCCTACATGCTTATTCTGAGACTCTTCCAGCTCCCCTTCTATGGCAGACAACTCACCCAGGCTTGCCGTGCTCCAATAGACAAATTAGTTTCCATCCCCACCACCCACAAGGCACAAGATTGAGGTGTATGATTAATGATCTGAAAGTCAATTAATCAGTGACTGCTTTTGAAACCTCATTTCTCACATTACTTCTTTTGAATACAAGGCTTGTTGACATCATCCTAACTTCTCTAGATCCACTTTCCCTACTGACTGAAATTCGGAGATATTTCCTCTTCCTGTCAGCTTACTGGTTTATAAAATATTTGCAAACAGATTACTGCTCACCTACAGTGCGTCAGAAGTAAGCACCAAAACAATGCTTCACGCTTCCAACTCAAAGCGAACGCTGTAATGATAGCTCGTGAGATTCTCTGTCTATGGGAAAGCTAATTTTTCATTTATTGATTTATTTTCACCACACCCACTTGCAGCAAGTATTTGAGATGTAGTACAGTCAAAACACAGGAGTAACACAGCTCCAGACTGTCGATCTCTAGGTTCCCTTAGTGAATGGTTTCATCATCATTTGAGCTATGGGCAAAGGCGCAGGGAAGAGGAAATTGGTTTTCTTCAAGCGAGAAGAGGGTCAGGTCTGAAGAGACTCTGGAGGCCGACACTGTGCTCCAAGCCCCAGCCCTCCGCCATGAGTCTGGTGCTGTTTATCTGATCATTCTTTGTTTAGGGCGGGTGAGGCTTCGAGAACAAATGCAAACGTCAGCACGCAATGGCTCGCACTCCATAAAAGTTCCTTTTGTGTTCAGCTGTAGTTCAAACAGGTGTCCTGGCCCCTAGCTGCTCTCTCCTCAGGGAGACTCAGGATCAAGCTGCTTCCCTCTGTACCCCCACTCTCCCGGCCCTTGTGGTTGGGCACACAGGTCAGCAGAGGGAGAAAGACACAGAGAGGAGGAGGCACCGCTGTTCTCTTACCCTCTCGCCCTCCCACACGCCCAGCTCGTCTGCCCACCACACTCTGCAAGAGAGAAGGTAGCCTCTGGGTGTCACCTAAGTTCAGGGGAAGTTCAGAGCTGGACTGTAGCATCTTCTGGGCTGTAACCCTCCTATCTTATTACTTATACTGTAGTTGAATGAGATGACATATGTAATGCACCCAATGCCATGCCACAGGAAGATCATAAATAGTGCTTGTGCCTATTCTTCAAAGTAGTGAGAGTTACTGTCTGTTTTGTTGGCAGTTTCAAGCCACAGTGGAGGAAGGAGCTGTGGGGGTTATTGTCAACTTGACAGTGGAAGACAAGGATGACCCCACCACTGGCGCATGGCGGGCTGCCTACACCATCATCAACGGCAACCCTGGGCAGAGCTTCGAAATCCACACCAACCCACAGACCAACGAGGGAATGCTGTCCGTCGTCAAGGTAAAGCAGCTTCTTGGGCATCTCCAGGACCCAGAAGGGGCGTCTAGAGTCCCTGAGCGGAGAAGGTCATGAACAAACCCCACTCCCTGCCTTTGAGAGTTCAGAGTGTTGCCTCAGGGCTCAGCAGGCAGTGTTCTCGGCACTGTGAGCCTGCAGCTACTCCACAGGTCTTTCTGATGGGGTCTGCAAACCCAAGCTTTGGGGCGACTCTGAGCAAACTAAACTAAATGCTAAATGAGATTCTTGGCAGGTCTGCTAATGAATTATCAAGAGACATGCAAAAATGGGACTTGCGAATATGTTTTAAAGATCTATACTCTAAATGTGGACTGTTGTGTTTCATTGTAATCTTTCTCTATTGTTCTCTTAAAAACAAACTCAGAATAATCTTCGGTTGAAACCTCCGGTGAACCTTGTTAGCCTGCACACAGCCCCTCTCTCTGGCTGCTCAAAGAGCAAGGCAGGGGAGGGCACAAAGCCCTTGGTGCACCCAGACCCCCAGAGATGTCCGTAGGAGGCGGTGGCACAGGGCTGGTGTCTCCGGCTGCTGGAGGAAGGTGGTCTGTGCAGTTCCACACTCTGGGAAGTGCTGGGCAGGATTTCTGCCAGAGATCAGCACCTTCACCGGCACGTATTTGCTTTCATAGTGATGGAAACCGTTTGCCTCCCAAGCAGGGAGGAAGAGCATTTGTAGCCTCAGCTGCCAATATCTCCATCTGCCCTTGTCTAAGCACCTAATTACATCCTCTGTGCCTCAGTTTCCTCATCTGTAAGATAGTAGTCTTTCTCTCTCTCTCTTTCTCTCTCTCTCTCTGTCTCTTTCTCTCAGTCTGAGTGGTTTCCAACACTTGCTTTCTCAGGAGGCCCTGCTGTCCCGCACTCCTGGCCTCTCCCTCCATCCTCAAAGCCAACATCCTCCTCCAGCCTCACTCTGCCCTGATCCTCTGCTCTTCCTGAGTCTTCCTCCTCTTACCTTCTCTTTCCACCCCTCTCTTTCATGAAGAGCTAGTTCCATCGGGTCCACTGGACAATCCAGGGTACACTCTCATCTCTGTTTGTAACCACTTCTGCAAAGTCTTCTTTGTCATATGAGGTTGATATGCACAGAATCCAGGGATTAGAATGTGGACATGCTGTGAACCCTGCCACAGACGCACCCCCAGCCCCCAGGGATGGCCAGCAGGACCAAGAGCCTTTGAGAATGGCAGAGCCAGCAGGTTCCAGAGGATGCGAAATCTGGGTTTCTCTCGAGCCCTATCCTTTACAGCCAATTCTTTCTTCCCCCACATCAAGGTAATGGCAAGGTCAACCCTGGCACTGGGCTTCTGCATCCAGGTGAACTTTCAAAGCTGTGAAGGTTATTGAATGACACGGCTATGACTGTGTCCTCCACAGCCATCGCTGTGTGTCTGAGAGTTGTCAGGCAGTTCACCAACCCTGCAGCCTGAAGAGGAAGCTTGAGCACCTATGCATCTCCAGCAGGAATCCTGGAGAGCTCAGGGTGCCTGGCATGCATTTGCTATGATTCAGGGAAATCAGACACAGGCAAACAGGACTCACAGAAAGCAGCTGCTCCCTGCCCAGGTCCTGCACTTGTCCATACCTGCGGCTCCCAGGTGTGTGAGAAGCACGTGCAGTGCTAGCTGAGCACAGCTGTACCTGCTGGGGCAGCCTAGGAGGGCAGGATGCTCCGGGCCATGTGCGGTTCCCAGGTGCAGTCCCTTTAGAGAGTGTGGCCTCGGGGAGTTTGCACCAGCATGACCTCACTCTCTGCAGACCCCTGCAGACCAGCTCAGAGACCGGACTCTCCTGGCTTTATGTTCCTAGTGAGCGGACTTCCTCGGCTTCGGAATAGGGAGGCAGACTGGCATCTTCAGGAAGGGCTGGCATTTCCCCATGTCTCAGCATGCGGAGACAAAGCCAGGACAAGGTCCTGAGTGAGGCAGACTCGCTGTGCCCTCTGATCCTTTCCATTGTGCCTGAGATCCAGGGCATCTATTAAGAATGCATTCTGCTGCAATAAAAGAATGGCAGTGGTTTAAATAACAAAGAGAATTTCAGAATTTTCATCACTAGATGAAGGTAGGCCTGTCCAGGCAGCTTACAGTGGCAGAAAGCCAGCAGGGGGCACCTTAGATGCTTTGGGCCTTTTCCTCTTGATCATAAAGTTGCTGCCAAAGTCCTATCCATCATGTCCTCCTGCTGCTGGTCTCAAGACAGAAAACTAGGAGGCAGCCAGGCAAGTGACAGCATTCCCATGTGTCCCTATCCTCTTATCAGGGAAGAAAATGTCTCTTTCAAGAGCTGCTTAGCCAGTTGCCCTTGATAAATCACTGGACAGTGCAAGAAAGGCTGAGCAAATCCACGCCTGGCTTTTTGGCCTCTGCAGTCCCCCTGGGCAGGGGAAAAGGGCTGGTAACCCCTGGGGGCAGCCAGGTACCAGCAGATCTGCACTGACCAGTGAGTGGCCCAGCATCAGAAGAGCTAGCAGGGATCTCAGGGTTGCTCAGACAACATGCTACCTACAGCAGGTCAAATCCTGATGGCGCCACAAAATGAGCACCCGTTCATCTTTAAAGCTTCCAGGCCTGGAGGCCCTTACTGGCTCTGCAGGTCTGTTCCACACCTATCAGAAAGTCGTTCTTCCAGTGGAGTGCCATCCACTCCACATTTGCAATCTATTTTCTGTTTCTCTGTCCTCCAAGAAGGAAGCATCTGAAAAGCACTGCTGATCCCAAACCTCCTTCAGAATCCGCCTGCTGCAGTGTTCCATCATTTCCCTGTGGGTCGCTCTTCCAGCCTGCACATGCTCCAGGACAGGGGTCTGCACTTGGCCTCAATCCTTGGTCAAGCAGTAACTGGATTTTGTCTCTGTGGCTTCCGCCCCCCATTTCAACTTCCTGCGCTCCCTGACCCAAGGCCCAGCCCTCGAGACTCCCTGGCATTGTGTGCCTGGCACAGTGGGCGGAGGGCTTCAGAGTCCAGTTACAGCCCTAGGAAAGGATTGCAAATGGAAAACTGGGTCTCATCAGCTCCAGATGGATCACTCCGGGGCATCGTATGTGGTGTCATCAAACATATAGTGAATGTTTAAAGTTTTAAAAATTTATTACAATGAAGGACACACTGCCTGTGGAACATGAGAATGCACTTGTTGGTGTCAAACATAAACGTACACACTTGCACATCCAACGCATAAACGCATACATATGTATCTAACCCAATACATGCATGCACGTCTACCCTAATGAGGGACACAAGCACATCTGACGTGTAAATGCACATATCCGTGGCCATCTGTCCCTGGCCGGGTCCCTGTGCTCCATGCTGCTCAAGCGCCCACTGACCACACTGGCCCCAAACCGCCTGCCCAAATTCAGCTGTGTGTTAAGAGCTCTGCTGAGCTTAAGAAACTCAGAAAACCCCACTCTACAGGCATTTTCAGTTCAGTAGAAAATTCAGTGGAATTAGATCTGGGCTTTCACGTCACCAGCAAGTTTTCCTTAACTTTATTTCCAGAAAGATGTTGTGCTCCTGGGAGCCAGCGTCCTCTATGGCTCCAGGCTGTGCCACTGGGTCTGCCCGGTGCTGGCAAGAGCTGGAGAGGTTCGTGGACACTGGGGTGCTCTGTGTCTCAGTCCCACTCACAGTTCGCACCCTCAGGATTGCCACCGGCCGGCGAGCCAGCCGTTTCTGCCTCCTCCAACATCACAATGGGGATGAATGGCTGTTTTCCAAGCCTGGAAGCTCCCTGGCCCTTGTTTCAGATCTACTTTACCGAGATTTCACATTTTGAGCAGCACTCAGGATGGACGGAAATCCGCTATTAGAATCCAACAAAAGGAGGAGCAGTAAGTTATTCCTGTTTATTATAGGGATGGAATCAAATGTAACTGGGCAGTAAGCAGGTACAGAGAGTAACGTATCTGTTAACTCTTTTTCTTTTTGGTACCAGGAATCAAACTGGGAACTTGTGCTTGCCAGGCAGGTGCTAGGCAGCTGAGCTGCATCCCTGGCCCACATCTGTTAACCCTTAAACTCCTGACACCAACACTGCTTAGAGGTGCTGAAGGTCAAGGAAGGATGCAGTTACAGCCAGGAAGCATTTCCAGGGTGTGTGGATGTATGAATGTGACTGACAATGCAATGTGTGTTTAAATTTCTAAAAAATTATTATAGTACAAAAATACATTGCCCATAATCCCCCTCAAAATTCTCCCCTTGCTTAAACACACTAATCCCATTGTTCTTGCCATTTCTGAAGCACTTCTGGAAGACTTCGCTCATGAGTGTCTTTAGTTGTGCTGGTGTGGCTGGTTTGATGTCTTGAATCATTACAAAACATTGACCTTTTACGGTCATCTTGATTTGGGGAAAGAGCCAGCAGTCACCTGGTGCCCCATCCAGTGAATAAGGCGGATAAGGACGCACCACGATGTTCTCACAAGCCTGCCTTTCAGTCGTATGGCACTCGGCAGCAGCAATCACTATATTTTTTACCCCACTTTATAAAGACACTCATGAAAGAGTACTACCAGAACTGCTTCAGAAAGTGTGAAGAGCAATGAGATTAATGCAGGGGAAGTATTTTGAGAAGGATTATTGGCAATGTGTCTTGTACTGTAATAAATTTTTTAAAATGTAAGCATGCGCCATAGTTTGTCACCTGTGTGTGTGTATGCACACATGCACGCGTGTGTAGGCTTTCTCATGTGTAGAAGGAATGCTAAGCACTGTATATATCTTATCCATGGTTGTTGTGAAAGATAGCATACGATGCCGAAGGTCAGCAGCTCAACCTGCCGAATCCCATTTCTCATGCCCTTCAGCAGCCTCCCTCACCTGCATCTCTGCGCATTTTCCACCTCCCTCACAGCCTGTGCCCTGCTGTTTTCTGCCCCTTAGCGCCCTTGGCCACCCCTCATGGCCCGTGTCTGTTTCATCCTCCGGTGGGGATGCGCACTGCACCTCAGCCCTCAGGAGTTCCTTACTTGCTTTTCCCAGTGAATGTCAGGAGGATAACTGTGGAAGCTCAGACTTCGCCCTTGTCTTGCGTAAATGTCTCCCCAGGCGCGCTCAGCATCAGGAGCCTGTTCTGGGAAATGTCACCCACTGCGAAAGTGGCTCCTCGGGCTTGGGAAGAGACCGACGTTCAGGGGAAGGACAGCCCCATCGCGCCTGCTTGTAGTGAGGTTTCCTTGACTCTGTCTGACGTAGCCCATGCGGCAATCAGAGGAAGCGTGCGCTGTCAGCCCCGCCCCACAGTCCCCTGCTCCTCCTCATGGCTGCTGCTGGCCCTGGCAGGACAGCTGCCACTTCCACTGTGTGGGACTCTTCCTCACATGGCTGGGTCTCTGGCATCTCCTCCTCTGCCCACTCAGTGGCTCTGGAGCCCCTACACCTTGATGGCAGTTAAAAATGCCCCACACCGTTGCAAATGCCCCTCAGTGGCAAAGAGCCCTGCGTTTTACCTCCTTGTGCTTCAGTTCTCAAGCCCCCCTCCCTGCACCCCTCCCACCTGGAAACTGCACGTGAGCCCTGAGCTTCAGACTTCATGGCTAGAGTGTGAGACATGCTAAAAGCGAACCTGGCTACGTGTGGTGATGCATATGTGCAATCCCCGCTACTCAGGATGCTGTGGCAGGAGAAGCATGAGTTGGAAGCCAGCCTGGGCAGCTTAGCAAGACCCTGCCTCAAGATAAAAGGGACTGGAGATATAGCTTGGAGAGAGAGAGAGAGAGAGAGAGAGAGACAGACAGACAGAGAGAAGAAAGGAGGGAGGAGAAAAGGAAGGATGGGTGCCTGGTTGGCTGGTTCCATCTAGTCTCCCATGGCAACAGAGGCAGGATCCACTCACCAAGATTCTAATGAAGCTTGGGCCTCAGGGTCTCTTATTTACCCTGCCCCAGGGCGTTGTGAGTTACAGGTTACAGGCAGGAAGATTTTTGGTGTCAGTGTTGCCAGGGAGCCACCGAAAGGGGCCTCAGAAGACAGGAACACAGGGCAAGTCACATGTGGTCATTTATTTCCCAATCTAAAAAGCATTAAGCGGGCTGGGGATTTAGCTCAGTGGCACAGCGCCTGCCTGGCAAGTGCAAGGTCATGAGTTCGATTCCAGTTACCGGAAAAAAAAAAATTAAAAAATAAAAATAAAAAGTATTAACCATGTCCAGACCCAAATTTGTATCTTCATGTTTCCAAGCCTTTTTCTTAAAGAGGGCTTCTCTCACACCACATAAGGCTTAGACCACAGAACCCAGGTCCATCCCTGACACCTACTGCTGTTCATGGAATTGTCACAGGGACGTTGTCCAAAAACCATCCACCCTCCATGGCCGGTGCACATCTTAACACCCTTCTATCTGCCTTCCAGCCCCTCGACTATGAGATTTCTGCCTTCCACACCCTGCTGATCAAGGTGGAAAACGAGGACCCGCTGGTACCTGATGTTTCCTATGGCCCCAGCTCCACTGCTACCGTCCACATCACCGTCCTGGATGTCAATGAGGGCCCAGTCTTCTACCCAGACCCCATGATGGTGACCAAGCGAGAGAACATCTCCATCGGCAGCGTGCTGCTGACAGTGAATGCCACGGACCCCGATTCCCTGCAGCATCAAACCATCAGGTGTGTGGGCGGCGGGCAGAGTCGCGTTTCCTTTCCAGTAGCAGAAGCTGCTCCCAGCAATCAAATGCCACTCAGTTAAACTTGTCAGTGATCTGGATGCAGGGGAAGAGAGGGTCATGGTGAGAAGTTGTGGTTGATGGACCAGGGGACAGGACTGTAGGTCCCTAAGCCTGAGTCCAGCCCAGGAGGAGAGTGGCTTCCAGGCTGCATTTCCAGGGGACCATCTCATTCTGCCAGCACCAGGGAGAAAGCAGGTGGCCACCCTGCACAGCTTCCTGTGTCCCAGAAACGTGACCCATGTGTCCTGGTACCAGCCTGGCCAGACACAGGTTGGCTGAGTCCATGTTCAACTGAGGGTGTTACAGACTCAGACAGGTCCAGTAACTTACTCAAGGCTGCCCAGCATGGCAGCAGGGGCATCAGGATTGAAACAGGACAGTCTGCCAACTCCCTACCTCTCTGTCAAATGCCCCCTGGCACTGAGCAGTCCCAGGGGAGGGAGCAGAGACACTGCCTGCTGCCCTGTACTGCAGCTTCCTGATGAGTGGTACACCGAAAAAAGGCTTCAGAAACTTCCACCCTGGCTTCTTAAGCTCTGTCCAGCACTCAGGGAGCTGTTTCCACAAGGAGACCTAATGAAGTGGCCATTGCTCTGGCCATCAAGTGCCAGTGAACACGATGCCCAGTTGGCCCTGGCACACTGAGGCACAGTAAAATGACACCAGCATGCAAGTCTCACAGCATGCTGTCTCTGCACAAGAGGGTTACTAATCTTTCCAAAGTCTAATCGTCTCATCTAAGGCACAAATAATCAAGTGTTAGGCACACTTATGATAAACATGTGTCCTGTCATTCTGATTAGAAACACCTCAAAACATGGAGCAAGCCCGTGACTATTTTCCCATCCCCAAAGTGGATTCATCCTTGCAACAAGACTTTCTGAGATGCTAAATGAGCAGGATAACTGTGGAAGTAATATCAAGTCCTACCATAACAGGAATCTGAAATAGCCATCCTTCTTTACTTTCTTTCTCCCCCTCTCTCTCTTCTCGGTATGGAGCAAAGGAAATGTGCAGTTTAAACATCAAAGAGAAAGTTTTCCTTAAGCACTCAGGTGGGGAAACCTGTAGCTTAACAGACCACAAGGTGTTTGGACACATTTAGGATGTCTTTAGGGGGGCTTCGCTGTCACTTTGAACCACTACAATAGGAGACAGAAGCAGGGGGCTCCTCTGGGGAGAAAGAGCAGAAATGGGGCTGCTGCTGCTAAGCCGGGCTTTGCCATTGCTGTCACAGCATGAGATGCCGCCAGGCACAGAAGCGGGTGTGTGGGACAGAAGCTACAGCCCCACTGAGGGGGACAGTGCTGGAATCTGGAGTCGAGAAGCGTCCACCCGGCTTCTCTGACTAAGGCCATCCTGGCTGACCTGGGCGGAGGGGGAATGTGATGGGCAAGATGACGGTCATTTATAGGACGGAAAAAGAGGTTGTGGTCACACCGGGACCAGCACATCCTTATGGCTCCCGGAGACAGGAGCTGATAGGTTAGTGTGTCAGGGTCCCCCGGGGAGAACAGGCCAGCTCCGGCTACCTTTTATTCCCCACCACTCACCGAGCCCCTCGCCCTCACTGCTGCACCGGAGCGCAGCCTTGGCTCAGGCTCAGGACACCACGACTGAGGGGTCCCCAGGAAGATGTTGGCAGGTCGCAGGCTGGAAGCCAGGGCAGCAGTCTGGCACAAAGAGCCTGGTGGGATAGACAGACAAGAAGCATTCTTCCTGCAAACAGAGGTGCCAGGCAGGCCGCCTGGAGGGGAGGGGGCTGGTGAGACCCAGGACACTGAGGGACCCCGAGACCAGCTGCTGAGTCGCTGGAGCTGGAGGACATGGGTTCCCCATCGCACGTCCAGAGTGAGGAGGCAGGAGGAGGAAGAGAAGGCGGCCAGCAGCGGCCCGCAAGTGTCTAGACGTGAGGCGCAGGGAAGCAGAGCCTGGAGCACCTGCAGAGCTGTTTCCTAGCGAGTCCGGCCCTCACAGGTGTGGCCTCCGCCACAGTGACCTGTGCCAAAGAATGCCTCCGTGTGGTCCCCAGATCAACAAGTCACAGGCCCAGCATCCTACACAACAGAGCCCAGGGGCTGGCACCGGCTTCCCCTCCCCCGCCCCAGCCTGGCTCCATCCTCAGCTGTGTTCCCGTGTCCATAGAGGGAAGAGGCCACCTCAGCGCCAGCCTCAGTCTCCCTCCCCAGGAAGAGTCCAGCCAGGCTCAGGCGTGGGTGCCACTGCACCAGCTGGGGCACAGTCCCCACACAGCGGAAGGACAGAGTGTGCCGATGGGCTGGTCCTGGAGCAGCACCGCCTGTGGAGCAAGGAGGTCTGCTGCGCAGGTGGAAATGGACACTGAGCCCTCCCTCCCCTCCGCCCCCACCCTGGCAGGTTCCGCACCTGCAGGCAGCGAGGACCTCACTGCCCTGGCGGGTGGGGCTATTGTCCCGGGAGCCCTGGCAGGAAAAGGCTCATTAAGGATTTGCAGTCTTTGATCCCGTACACTGAAAAGTGCTGTCCCTGAGGGCGCTGTGCGTGCAGAGGGTGAGCAGGGCTGCGGGAACGGCGGGCTGAGGGATGGCTTTCTAATGATCTCAGCTCCCTAGATTCCTCAGGCGGCACAGTGACCTTGTGAGTTGTGCTGTTGTTGTTGCTTTAATAGTTCTTCAGGGAGCAGGCTTTGGAAGAGGGAGGAACTGCACTCTGGGAACTCTTATTTCTGTCTCAAGGAGAGCTCTGAATGTAGCTGGCCAGGTACAGAAATGAAAACAAAGGCTGGTCCAGCCCCCACCTGCAACATCCCAAGACCCCGCCGCGCTCTGCAGCAGGCCCTGCAGAAAAGATGCACTAGACTGGAGGTGTTTCAGGGGGACCCTGTGTCTGCCTCTCCTGGGTACCCTCCCCCGACCCGTTTGTCTCCTGCCTGCACTGCTTTTCTCCGTCTCCGTCTACCTCTCCCTGCACCTCTCCCCTCCCCACCTTCCCTCCTCCTCTCTGCCCTGCCCTGCTCTCTCCTCCTCCCCCCGTCCTTCCCTCCTCCTGTTCTTCTTCCCCACTCATTTCCCTTCCCTCTCTTCTCTTCCCTCCCCTCTTCCTCCTCTTCCTCCTCCTCTCTTTCTCTCACTCCCTCTCTCTTTGTGTCTCCCTCCCTCTCCCCCCCACCTCTGTCTCTATCCACTTCCAGAGTCCCTGGGACTACCAACCTGCATGTCATCTCCCATGATGCACCACGTTCTCAAATTTGAGCACATCCTGGGAGATGCCTGGCTTGACGGCATCTGAGAGCCTCAGTCCAGTCCTCCCCCCTGCTCCTCCCATGGTGGACTCCTTCAGTGGTCAAAATGCGAAAGCCTCTCCCCACCCTCAGTCCCCACAAAATTGGGGAACCTCTGCCAAGCCCTGGCCTCTGTGATGAGCAGTCTCCTCTCAGCTGCTGCAAGGGCACTGCGCTCCCACCTGGGATGTTAAAGCAGCAGAGGCGCCTTGATCTCCGTGAAACCTGTAACCCAAAGGCGGGAGGCATCCAGATCAGAGAGAATCACTCCCCGGCAGCCTGCAATCCGAAGACCCATTTAACAACCCGTCACCTTGGGCTCTTCTCCAAATCAAAACGGACAGCGGTGGCCGTGGGGCAGGTGAATTTCTCCCATTTAATGACTTGTGTCTTCTTATCCTTACTACAAAGTTGAGATCGTGTGTGGAAGGAACTTTTGAGAGGGCAGTTCAGAGTAAAGCAGAGATAGAGTATCTGTCGTCATCCCACTCAGGAAATCCCCTGGAACACTGTGGTGATAGCACCTTCAATCACTTGTGAGGATTTTGTCTTTAATTATCGTTTGCTGACTGCACCCATCCCATCTTGGAGCCGCCTTTTTTACTTCCAGTACATGGAGTGCAGCTGCCCAGGCATGGCTGACTTGTGTGCTTTTCTGTTACACGGATCCACCATTCAAGGATGCATTTCTTTGTCGCATATTTACATTGTTACCAATTGTTTGCAATTTTTTGACAAAAAAGATCATGAACATGTTTGTAGCTACATCATTGAAGGCATCTATATATCTTTTTAATTTTCTGAAGATCACTGGAAATACTTTGCCAGAGCAAAAGTGTTGCCATTGTTAATGCCTCTGGATTACATCTAGGCAGACACATTTCTATTTGGTCTTATAATTTCTGAATTGGTGTCATGGTTAGAAAGCCCTTCCGTGTGCCAAACTAATGTACATAGTGGCCCATCCCAAGACAGAGCTGGCTGTCACACCCTGTCCTCTCGGTGCCCAGTGGCAGCAGGTGTGCCTCAGCTGTCAGGGTGGACTGTCCTTCAGAGACGCAAGTAGAAATCAGGTATCTCCCAAGGACATGTTAGGATCGCTCATGAGAGCAGCCCACACAGGGGCACTTGCTGGCTAATTATTGTTAAGAAGAGGAGTGTGGTAGAAATGATGCTAGTCTGGAAATGCCTGCACTTTGGCTTTCTGCCACAGAACAGGGACAAACCTTCCACCAGATCCACCAATTTGGTTACATGGTGCGCGCAGCCAGCAGCTAAAAAATTCAAGCTGCCTCAGAGGACTTATTTCATTCTTTCAATAAGCAGAGATTCAGTGGAAGCAACCAAGTAGCAATTCCTATTCCAAACATTTTTCAGACAGAACTCATCTTGTCCAGGGTCTGTAGTAAACAATTCCACAGCAGAGCAACTTCTGCCTACGCGTTGAATATATATGTATTGAGGAAAAACCATGTCCCTACCCTATAAAAGTATATATATTTCTCGACATATTTTGGGGAGGGTTATTCATCCAGCTGGCCTTGTGAGTGTGTGTAAAATACTGTATCTGTGGGAAATAAATTTGGCTGAACAGAACAGGGAAATTTAAAATAATAATAGTTTGGAGAAGATGCAATACTGCCAGGGTCCTTCTTGTACTTCTAGGCTGGTGTGCTCTTTCT